AAGTGTGTCTACATGCACATTGGGGATACAAATGCAAATATATACAACATAGGGGAAGTACCTGTACTCGTGGTCCGGTCTCAAGGATTTTGAAGTGACAGTGAATCATTATCTTAAGACCACGATGCACTGCTGGGAGATTGCAGCTAAGGGGTTTGGAAACCTATGGGCTTTAAAACGGACATCCACCCAATCAGATACTACTATGTTTACTACAGTATACGCAACCTTAGTGAGAACCAAGTTTGAAAACTGCGTTCAAGCCGTAAGCCCCTGCCTAAAAGGTGGTTTGAATCTGAACATTATCTTCAAAAGAATGCATACGCAAAGTTAATGTAAATTGGAAGACTGATAGAAAACAACCTGCCGTCACCAATCTGAAAGACAGACTACCGATAACTCTGGCTCGACCAGTAGTGTTCGTATAAGAAGAATTCACAACGAGTACACGCTTTCATGGAACACTTTTCAAGATGAACGAAAAACCAGTCAGTAGGCGAACTAGAACCGCGTTCGTTTCAAAAAGGGCAGTGATTTTTGTACTTGTGATTATACTTGCTTTGGGTACTTATTGCACCAAAAAGCATTCTTGGTCTACTTTAACTAAAAGTACTTTGGTTAAAGTTTGAAATTTTTTGCTAAATTTTGTCCTGGGTACCTGTTTTTACTCCTGACTAACACTTGTGTTCACATTGTGATCATTTTGTGTTTTTAAACCTTTTAAATCGAATTACAATGGTTGGTAAGACTCACAAATGTGGGCAACCAAATTGTTTGTTCCCCGTGGAGGAGGGAATGCAATGTGACGATTGTAAAAAGTGGTACCACAAAATGTGTACACGCCTAAGTCCGACGGCTTACAAAAGATGCTCGAAGCCTAACTCGCATTGGCTTTGTATGTTCTGCTGTACGGATAAAAAGGTACTAATTCCGGAGGCTATGGGCCTATTGGCTTTGGCCTGCAAGAAAAACGATGGCGGAAGCAATGACAACAAGAGCACTGACGGAGAAGAATGTGTCAGTGTAGTAAGTGCTGCTACTGGACCCGTTAAACACCTGTGATTGATGGGAACGTGAAATCTCCGTTGACATTAACGAGGAATGAAGTGTCGCTTGATATTGACATCGGCAGTCATACACCTCTAGTCGAAATAGAAGATTCGGATAAAACTGTCACTGTTCCACGTGTGGCTGTCCTGACTGCTGACAAATGGACTTCAGTAAGGAGAAAAAGAAATGGGAAGAAAAAGGCTGTAGCCAAAACGCAGCCGGTCAGCAAGGCATTGGAAGGGATGATATCAGAAGAAAAATCCTCACTGCGTGACAAGACAGATCTCTCTGAGAGATCAGTCATTTTTCATAAAATAAGATAATCTTCAGATAAAGAACCACAGGCGAGAGTTGAATACGATCTCAATCATATTAAGACATTATTAAGTAAACTACTCCCAGATAGTTTCAGGAGTCAGTATTTGTAAGCTTTATAGAATAGAAAAAAAGGTGGATTCCGAAAGTCCTCCGAAAAACCACCTCCTGAAGGTTACATTCAACACGGTAGAAGAAAGGAACCTGATTCTAAGTAATTCACGTAAACTGATAGGATCCGGAATATATGTTCGTGAGGATCTCAGCCTAGCTGATCGTATTAAGAGACGAGCTGCAGAAGCTGAAATAAATGAACGTCGCCAAAACGGGGAACGAAACCTTGTTCTTAAGGGTTTTCAAGTTGTAAAAGTTCGGAGCAAAACGATCCCCAAGCCACTGTGGGTGGCAAGGGAAAGCTCTCCACAGACTTAAAGGTATGCTACACAAATGCTCGCAGCCTACTAAATAAAATGGTGGAGCTCAAGTCAGTGGTGGATAAAGAAAAACCGGACGTTATTGCTGTCTCGGAAACTTGGTTAACGTCAGAAGTATTAGATAGTGAAATCCAGTTGACTGGTTTCATAACCAGTAGGGCTGATTGATTAAACCGAAGGGGCGGCGGGGTTATTCTGTACACGAAAAATACCCTAACCATAAGATTAGCTGAGACAGTAGCACATGTTTCAGGGACATGTGAACTGGTGAGATGTAAGTTGAAATGCCGACGGCAAGATATTGAATTAGTTGTAGTATATCGCAGTCCAGAATGTGTAGCAGATGATTTTATCCTAAGTAAACTTAAGTCTTGGTGTAACAACGGTAAAAGTCTTGTAGTAGGCGACTTTAATGCACCACATATAAACTGGGTTAGCTTAGAAGTAGGGTCATCCATATCGTCGTTCGACCGCAAACTGTTATAAACCTCGATTGGATTAGCATTATTCCAACACATTAGAGATCCCACAAGATACGACTTAAGAAACTCTTTCTCTCTTTTAGATTTAGTCTTCACACACGGTGATGACGTTGGTCAAATGGCTTTTCTCCCACCACTTGGAGGAAGTGACCATGCAGTCATCTTACTCAAATTCAAGGCTCAGATTGCCTGTCAAACAGTTGCACCGGCCCGTCCCAACATATGAAAGGCAGATATGCAGGCAATTAACTTTGCAGTATCGGCTGAAAACTGGGAAATTGACTCAAAGGCATCAGTACAAGAGGCATGAACTCTATTCAGGCAGTTATACAGTCGGGTAACTCAACCATACATACCCTGGACTGTCCCAAAGAAAAAGAAGCACGGACATCCCTGGATAAGGCGGGATATTTGACATTTATTAAGACAAAAGAAGAAATGCCGGGACGTTGCCATCCGCCTTGGCACAGCAGGTACGATGAAACGCTACAGATCGATAAGAAACGAGTGTATAACGAAAATTCGGGAAGCTCAAAGAAAATATGAAATGCAGCTGGCACAATCTGCACTCAAGCAGCCCAAGAGAATATTCTCGTACATAAACTACAGAACAAGGATGCATCACTGGATTCCCAATCTAATTAAAGTAGGAAGTGAATCTGAAATGATAGAGGAAGATCAGGAAAAAGCAGAGGCTATGGCTGACTATTTCGGGGCAGTTTTCACTCAGGAACCTCCTCTAGAGAAAGAACCAGACCCAAATATAGAGTCAACAAACCAACTGCTCACCGTGGACTTCGACCGAAATGATGTACTTAAGACTCTTAGCACCCTAAACATGGAGAAGTCAACAGGACCAGATGAACTACACCCCAAAAATCTTGAGACATATTGCCCAAAATATCGCGGCCCCATTGACTGTGATATTCAATATGTCACAACCAAAGTGTGTTACCTATGGACTGGAAGGACGCAATCGTCAATCCCATATAAAAAACAGGTCCACGAGAAGTTCCATCGAATTACAGACCCGCAATCCTCACCAGTGTGGTAATTAAAATACTGGAAAGAATAATTAAACGGACCATAACGGCATTTATGGAAACAAATAACTTGCTGAACATGGCACAACATGGTTTTAGAAAGGGTCTATCCTGTACAACGAACCTCCTTATAGCAAGGGAATTCTGGATTAATGCGCTAGACAACGGAAACTCAGTGGATGTTGTCTACATAGATTTCAGTAAGGCTTTTGACAAGGTGCCAACTAATAGACTGCTATTGAAGTTGGAAAACCTTGGTGTTTCCGAACCTCTTTTAAAATGGATTAAAGATTTCCTAGTAGGTCGTAGACAAAAAGGAAGAATAAATTCCAAGTGCTTCTTCTGGAGACCAGTACTTAATGGAGTACCCCAAGGTTCCGTCCTAGGTCCTTTACTTTTTATAATGTACGTTAATGATCTTACAAGTATAGTACAGTCTCCAATGTTATTATACGCTGACGATGTAAAAATTTGGCGAGTAATAACTGGAGACAAACACGCATTTACTCTTCAGGCAGATTTAAATAAGATGATAAACTGGTCTAAAGAGTGGCTGATGCCTATCAACGCGGAAAAGTGTGTCTACATGCACTTTGGGGATTCAAAGGTTAATAAGTACAACATAGGGGATGTGTCATTACCCGTAGTCCGGTCTCATAAAGATCTAGGGGTGACAGTGAGTAATGATCTTAAGACGACGGCCCATTGCCGGGATGTCGCGGCCAAGGGGTTTCGAACCCTCTGGGCTTTAAAAAGGACATTCACTAAGTTGGATACTACCATGTACACCACAGTATACACATCCTTAGTGAGAACTAATCTAGAGAACTGCGCCCAGGCTGCAAGCCCCTGTTTAAAAGGTTACTCGGACATACCAGAAAAAGTACAGAGGGCAGCCACCCGTGCAATTCCGGAACTTCGAGGTTTATCATACAAAGAGCGGCCTGAAAAACTGGACCTCTTTACTCTGTCCTATCGCAGACTAAAAGGAGACTTAATTTTGATGTACAGAATACTGAGAAATGATTTCGGACCTAACTTATTCTCTCTTTTTCTTCCCACTAGATCGGGACACCTTAGAGGACATAGCATGCGAGTAGAAAAGCCAAGAACGAACAAAATACCTGTGACATACAGGTTTTCACACCGCGTCAAAGCTTGGAACCTGCTGCCTGAAGCAGTGGTGTCCGCACGTTCAATTGACTCTTTCAAGAGAAGACTGAACACTCACAGAAGCATACTAGAAAAGGAATAACACAGGCCGTATGCCTTCTGTCCTTACTACACAAATCTGAAAATGCTTATAAAGGCTTACGAAGTGCCCTCACAGTCCAAGGTTCGTGCGAATACAAACCCGGAGGAGATGTCTGATCGAAATATACACGTCAATATCTGAAACAAACTAGGTTTTCAAAACTTCATTGCCATTCACGACGATAAATATTTATACAGACCACTACTAACAGAATATTAATGCCCTTTGTAAATCATCAACGCTACCAACTCCTAAACTTTGTTGACATGCTTAGATGTCGTAAAGAGCATAAGTAAGGGAAGAAACAACGAGAACTTAGTAAAATATATAATAACACTGGTTTCTTCAAATTCCACACAGTAGGCTTGAAAGACCGTTAGGTTTTTCATGAAAGTATGATGCCGTTCAAAATTATTCTTACCTTCATATTGTTATATGACGTTTAAAAAGAATATACGCCATAGGAGCGATAGCAATGAAAGGACATAAGCATTTACGTCCCAAACACTAACACCTACTCTGAACAGAGCGGGGTAGCGCATTGAGCCCAGTTTAACAACATTATTAACACATGGATAACCCGTAAAAATATTCTTAGCAAAAGCAATAAAACCTCAAGCATCCAGATTCTTACCAAGTGAGAACCACAGTCACTGAACAGTGATGACTCGAATGGATTTAGATGTGGAAGAACTACATTGCAGCTCAACTTCGTAAACTGGAGTGATATATATATGGAAAAAGACAAAGACAGAAAATTTCATACTAGCTGTTAATCGACAACAAGCCAATCGCTCCTAGAAAATTTAAGTTTCTCTATTCCGTAGTTTGGATTCCTTATCTATTATTTTGAGTGGTGTCGAATAATTGGCTGACGGATCACATCATCAGTCTCATAATCATGATAAAGTATTTCATTTTCTAGGGTTTCTTTGATATTTAATATGTGGCTATGCTTTTGTTCATTATTTTTTACACAGATTCGTTTTACGGGATATATATATTCATTCTGTCATAGTTATTTAGTAACTGAATGAGCTCATTTTGGTTAGTTTTCAGACCAGCATCCTTTCAAGTAGAATAATGATATATTTAGATTTAGGTTTTTATCTACCATATTGTATTTTACCCGTATAATCCTGTCAATTCTGTCTGACTTACATTATAGTCATACTTATAGTATTTAGGTTTAATGGTCTACAATGAAGGAGGCTTTAACTAAACAATCTTTAGTGATTAATAACAGTGCACCATCGATACATGTATACATGGAAAAAAGAAAAAGCTAATTAGTCATTCCCAAGTAAAAATGATACTCTGAAACTTGATTACTAGAGGATAATAAAACTGCTGATTAGGACTTTAACTCACTTGTATTACTTCTAGAGAGAGAATTTGAACTGTAGTATTAAGTCTTATTGCAAGATGTTTACATTCCGAATGTAATCTTCATACTTAAGATGATCACTCAGGGTTCATTGAAACGTTTCAAGGTAAAAAAAATTAAGCTCCAATAGGTGGATTAGTGTAGACAACTGGATCCTTAAATTTAATTCTGTCCGAATTGAACATTGACACCCGTCTTGTTGGTTTTCAATAACAATATAAGCTGTAGGCGATCGACAAGGCATCACTATAAGACCGTAGTATTACTCGACGTAAAATGCTTACCGTAATAGGGCTACTAAGTTCAGAAGTCTCACATTCCTTCGTAGCAGTTCAAAGTAGTCGAATAGGTAGAAGAGTCAGTTAATTATACGCGATTTCCCAACTATTTATCATTTTATTTGACATGAGAATTAAGATCATTTTTCCTTCATATTATGAAAGACTTACACATATCCTTGAATATGGTCCACTACCTCGATTTTTAATCCAACGTGTGTGGAAATGAATAAATTATTTTTTGACTCAATGATTCAACTGATTATGAACGTTTTCTTTATAGGCACTATCCACTGACAATCAATCACTGGTTTATCTCTTACAGAATTACCTCAAGCGTCACCAAAGATGTATTATGTCAAGCCTAACGGATTGAAAATGTAATTGATCGGAAACATACTTTTATATGTACAGTATTCATACTTTTTCCTTATTATCCTACGGTTAATATGAAATTATTGACTACAGCTAACATATGAGTGTAAACTCGTCTTGTTATCACTAACCAAAGAAAGCTTGACATAAACAAGCGAAGCTCGATAGTTCCAGTATACTGAAACCCTTGACATCGATCTTAGCTCTACTTTTATGCTCACCTTAGTTTTACTCTGGTTGACAAAACATTTTATACTCTTCAGATTATAATTAGAAAGTTGTACTATCACAATGTACAAAGCTAGAGATCATGCGACCTAGATGCTTTTAATAAATTGTGACGACTGAATTTTAGACAAAATTATTGCTATGCTGATTAAACTGATGAGCAGAAGCAGTTAAATTTGGTATTTTAACTTGTAATTGTCAGGACTGTCGAACTCTAGGTGCCACGAATAGATTTACATTTGAAATGCGAGACAACATAAAGCATACTTGTGGCAATTGAATTTTGTAGCTCAGGCCATGCGCGCAACAATTTCTAAAGTAGTTTTAAATACAAACTGGAAATATTGCCTATTAGAAAAATGTAGAATGGGGTATCGTATTCTACGTTTCCGATCGTAACAGACATACCGCACTTAGTTGTGGCATTCATTCACGTTGCCATTAATTACCTATTTTTGGCTCATTTTCATTCACCACCAATCTAATGTTCACACTCGTAGTTTTCTTCGCATACCTAAGTTGAAAGATCTTTATTTTGAGGCTGTTTTTAAGGACTTATTATCAATTTTACTAGCAGTAACCTCTTCAGGTTTATATTAGAAATATTCACAGTTTTTGGTGAAAGTCATACTGAACTTCAGGAACTTATCTTCAAGCCAAACAATACACAGACAATCCTTGAAAAAGTAGAAAATCCTTCTTTGACACGTGATATGCTCAAGCAATTTACTCGTCATGATTACTTTTTAGTTGCACTACCAATTAACATAATTCCATATAGTGTATTTAAGGAGTAGTTATTTATCTACAGACACAAGTAAAAAAATGTATTCGGAGTTTGACAATGCCTTAACGAGTAACAACTTTTGTAATCGAAACGTGCCAACTCAATCAAATCTAAAATCAGAAGCGAGCAGGTTTGAAGATATATTTGATAGGCCATTGATATATCGAGAAGTGATCAATCTAGGCTGGTCAGCGGTTGTAGAAGAAATTGAGCACGGCGTACCCACTGGTGATCTTGTGCAGATGCGCTACCAAGCACCTTCAGATAGGTGAGACCACTAAGATTAATGCGGTCAGCATCAAGCGCCAAGGAGTTACAGAGCTGTTGATTTTGCAGATTTATTTACCGCTACACATCTTACATTGATCTGTGATAAGAGATGGCTTTAGCAACCCATTAATACTTGTGATAGAGTGATCAGGAGGTCGTCATATGTAATACGTTATATGCGGAAACTTGCAGACTTTCAAACTGAACACTGATGCTGTTAAAGAGGCCTTCATAAATATACGCTAGATACTAGCCCGTTGATCACTAAAATAGCTGCTCTATATGAATGTTTGGGACCCGCTAGATTTGGACAGAACTTCTGTGATCTAGCTTACGTTAAAGTCACACATTGTGTTTCATATCTTACGTCAATGATCCTCTCGCAGTATACAAATACCAAAGCTACTCTGATGTCCGTATCGAAAAGACAATATGTTATAAAAGGACTGTACTAGCGAAAGTAGATTGTACAGATAAAGTTCCACCACAAAATCATGGGCCAGTTCATACTATGCCATCTGTTAATCAGCGTCTTCCACCTTGACGAAATTTGGCGAGCTATCCAGCGACCACTTGTCTGTCGTCCAATGTGCGAATGGTTGGGTATTAAGGGGGATTTAGATTGAGCTCAGTGACGTATTACTGGCCAAATAGGGAATTTTTTACTTTTCTAATCTAGATAGCCTGGCTTAAACTTTAAGAAAAATACCTAACGTTCGTTCGAATTCCAATAGTGTTAGCTCAATACAAACGTCGATGATGTAAAATGATGTTGGTGATCGTTGAATACTTCTTCAGCAGCAACCGATTCACCAGTTTATAAAGTTAGTCACATCGAAGTAGACAATTCAAATCTGCAGGTCAGATGCAGGCACACAGCTTTAAAAAGAGTTTATGTAGAAGACAGCACAGTCGAACGTCAAAAGTGTATGATCAGGTCTGCTGGTATTATCATGATCAGATAAAAGTCATTGTTATTTATTTCTATGTAATAATAAATTATCGGAGACAGGGCAGTTTACAGGCTTCATAAAAATTTTACAAACTTTACAGGATTTACAGTAATAATTTGCTCAGTTCAGATGGTTCTGGATGGAATAGAATGACCTTTCCCATAATGGAGTTCTGTATCTAGTAGCAGTGGTTCAATGATGCCCCCAGGATGAAATCAACGTATCTTATAAGGTTGATATGTAAGTAGACATACTGGTTATAAAAACAAAGGGTATAAATTTTTGTATATAAGAATATGAAAAAATGTTACGGTTAGCAATAATGTAGCCAGTACACGCTATTGTTGCAGGCAGGACCAATACTTTGCAACGTAGTTCACACATAAGATGTTCCCCACGTAAATTTGTCAAATGGATATTCATTAAGCTTGTGATAAAATATCCATGTGTGTAAGCCAACAAGTTAATAAATGGGTTTATGTGTTGGTACCGTAATATGAGTTTACAGTTGTCATAATATGCCGAAAAGCGACAAATTTTAACCTTGGCTGATGCAAATTTGCTCAAAATTCTGCCTTTTTACGTCACATTCGTGACGCTGAAAAAAGTGAGGAGAAACAAGCAGTATAACTGCTGACAAAAAGTGGTTGGTAATACTTTGATTTTCATTTTTGTAACGGGAGCAGTTAAGGCATGTCAATATGAAGGCAAAACTAAAACTAACCGATACAGGTTCAGATAAAATACAGGAACCAGATGCAGTGTATGAAGAATCGTTAAGGGTAAACAGGCCTTAGTTGATGTAAATTTGAAGAGCAAAGTAGAAGAAATGCATATTGATACCGAAAAACTAACAGAAACATAAGTTGTTTCAATTTTCATGTGACTTCATTAACATAGCGTTTATTATTTACTTTACATTTTATTGTTGCCATCGAATGTCAAATGCCAAAATACTATCTAGCCAAATGGATGAATGAATTTCGCTGCAAAATCCAAGACTTTATCGCAAATCTGATTGGTCCATCCATAAATTATAGTCGCGCCGCACCATTTTCTGAAGCTAATTACCTTATATTTGAACGAACATCCTTTCTTTTAATAATTTAGATAAAAATATTTACTTAACGTTTAGGATTAGTATGTTACGGGATAAATTAGTCTACTCTATTAAGAAAGCAATCAAATGTTAATGAGACAATTAAATTAATGACAGCTTCTGTTGTTATGGCGATAATTTCCTGCCTAACCATTAGAGCTAGAGC